GTATCTTTTCCCGCTCAGCAGAACTCTTCACTGTAACAACGCAATGACCAGGCTTGCGCTGAAGGTCCACCTGGCAGACCTGACATATATCTACCTTACTCTGCTTGAGCGCCTTGGCGTAAAACAAGTGGTCTGCAGACCAGTCCTTCTCAATCCTAAAAGAAAAGGAGGCCGGAGCAGGAGCTCCAAAACTGCCAACCGTCTCCATCATACACAAAGGAAAGTGAGAAATTTCTGTGCCGTGTCACCTCCCTAGTGTGAGTACGACTCCCTGATCTATAGTAATGAATGGGTCCATTTGCCAACATATTGTAATCCAGCATGCAACTAATAGTAGAGGGCATACACGGAATACCCAATTATGAGCCAATTGTGCGTAATTCTGACAATTGAGATCGCTACATTTAATAAAGTATAGACGTATCAGGGACGGCCATTGGGACGCACAGTGACAAAAGGATACCAAAGGCACTAGTTGCATGCATAAACAGCACCAGAAGGGGCGGAAAACGGATGTTTGTTCTAAATACCAAACGCAAACAATTGCGTCAAATATTCAAATGATTGCAATTATTTCAGATTTGAGATATGTAGTTTTTGCTGATCTATTCACGTCGACCGAGGACTGGTGATTGAGAAGACAATAAATAGGTACTAGGGGATGACCTCCGCCTGCCGTGTTGATTTTATGCCATCGCTGCTCTCCCTCTCGCTGCTACTTGGAGAGCGAATGCTGTGATGGCTTCAGCAATGAAAATTGGCAGTTTCGATTCAGATCCTGAGGAGATATCGCTACTTCAGCTCTGTCCAGGTGTCTACTACGACTAGAGGATGACGACACTAGCTGGAGAAGGCTATATCTCTATTAGCAGCAGCGTGACGGAACGAAAACACGATCGAAATTGGCAAAATATATCGCAGAGCGCTGCATTTGCGAAGCGCACTTTTCGCCGCGATCGGTCTCCATACTTTCAAATGCCGACCTACCCATATTATACATGAAAATATTCAGTGGGATCTCAGCTGTCCACTGTAAAGAACCGCGGGTCAATCAGAGAAAGGACGCCGCTGTCCAAGTGCGGCACGCCGAACCGTAAATATTTTTTACGGTTCGAGATGGTCGCGGTACATAAAGGGTTAAAAGATCCCCATCCTCAACGCTGGGTGGTGGAGACAATAGAAGAGAACGCGGAAAATAGAGACAACCAAGTGCAGATATCTCAGTGAGGACGAATCAGATGTTCAGCATTCCCCCCGGCCAAAGACCACGCCGTTTGTTCTTTCCACTTCCTGATGGATGCATGTAATAATTGCTGGCGACTTCCTTATCTCTCGTGACATCTTCTTTTTAGCGAAGTCAGACGACTTGTGAAGGAGATTGACCAGCAACATAATCTTGTACTTTTCTGAAAGTTTGCCGAGAATTTCTCTGTAGAGATGGGGGATGGCCACAGTCAGCCTCGGGAAAAGCAAGAGAAGGCCAATAAACATCGCACTAACAGCATTGAACACAGAATTTCTTGCACTGGCGCCTAGAGTATGCATGGTTGGCGGTATCCGACATAACAGGCTGGTCAAGCGCGAACTGATGGTGGTGGTGGTGAGGAGAGCTCTGTGCTAGAACTTAGCAGCTTAGAGAGAGTGTGTGGGCAGGCGTGTGTTTACCGCCATATTGCCAGATGTGTCTTTACCACCATATTTATCAACCATAAGTACTGCTGCAGTGGTTTCTTCAACTTCATTCTCCTGAGTCAACCTCCGTGTGAAGACATCTAAGAAGAAGATTGCCTGATGAGTCCAGCGGGGACGAAACGTACGTCGCAATCGAGTTATGTCGTTGCTGTGTCATCTTCTGTGTGCCATGCGATACTTGATGTGCCAGCCTGCTATGTCGGATACCGGCAACCATGCATCGACTAGGCGCCAGGCGCGTACTGATGGTGGTGGTGGTGAGAAGGAGACCTCTGTGCTAGAACTTTGCAGCTTGGAGAGCGAGTGTGGGCAGGCGTGTGTTTACCGCCATATTGCCAGGTGTGTCTTTATCACCATATTTATCAACCATGAGTACAGCTGCAGTGGTGTCTTCAACTTCATTCTCACGTAAGCTTTTTAACCCTTTGTCCTTTTGCCCAAAATGTATGTGAGGGGTACCTGCTTCAACAAATCCACTCACCATTCCCAAGCAGCTAATATTTTGTATGTACACTTTATGTTTTCCTGAAAGCTTATGATAATTGTGAACTAAAAATGCAGTTTGGGTTGAATTCCTGAGATAGGCGTGGCTAAACAAGAGTATCAAAAATGAGTTTTTGGCAAAAATCGGCAAAATTCAAAATTCAAGTTCTTTCCTATGTATAATAATGTGCAATTTGTACAAGTATGACCTGGAGTAGCACCTCTGGCATGTTGGGCAAACACGGAGCATTAGCCAGAGGAGTGCCAGTGGCGACATGCTCGACATTGCGGCCCCGTGCGGCTACTCTCCTCGCTCTGCGCGGCTGTCGACCATGAGTTTGACGGCGCGCAGGTGACGGAGATCTGGACCTCTCTGGGATCGGACTACGCTCCCGCTCCACGTGCTGCTGCATTCTAGCTGACCCTGCTGCTCCACGACGGGTAAGACACGGCGGTGGTACACTCTCTTCACCACGCGAGTGCTGTTCTGCCGATCCTGCGCTCAAATCGGAGCGGTCGACATGTCCGACAGTTGGGTCGACGGTTACGACATCATAATCCGCGTCGTCATCTAAATCAGAATCAACACCTTCTACTAAGGCTTCGTCCAGTTCGTTCTTTTCATCAGAGGACATAGGATTGTCGCTTGGGTCACTCCAGCTATCCTCAAACAAGCGCTTCATCTGCATCAAGCGACCTGCGTGCTGCCATGTCGGAAGTCACGCGCAAGCAAACTTCGACTTTGATTTCCTGAAATTTTTCAAATGGCAACTAGCCCCAGCGACCCGTGTATCATCCTCTACATAGCATAGGCTGTGTGCACGTGAATTTTCATGTGGATCGGGTGATCCGCGTAGCTTCCAGGTCGCTTTGAACATGCGTGGGTTGAACCGTACACAGGTGTACGGTTCAAGTATGGGCGAAAGGACAAAGGGTTAATAATAATAATACTTGAAGCAATTTGAAACTCGGATATTGAGCCAATAATAAAAATAGAAAGGAAAAGGACATAGCTAGGTGTCCGGACGTCGAACGCCTCAGTACTCTGTCAGTTTTGTGCCTAGTTGTTGCACTTTCTGACTGTATATAGTATGTACAAGTAGTAAGAGTGGTGGAGAGTTCCTCCTTACTCGTTTCCATAATTATGTCCTTTTTCCTTTCTACTTGAAGTAAGAATAATACTTATTCTGTTATTTGCCTTTACCCACAATTATTTTCGTTTTGGAGATCAAGGCCACAAGGAGAAGGAAGGTGTTGCCATGGGCAACCAACTCGCTCCTCGAATTCCTATTGTCTTCATGCACTGCGTCGAGACGCGTATGTTGGAGACTGCCACCCTCCAGCCATCCCTCCATGCAAGGCACATCGACGATACAATTATTTTAATTTGGATCTATGGCTCCGCTGCTCTCTGGGTATTCATTGCCCACTACAATAGCCAGCACCCTAAAATCAAGTTCACTTACGATAGCAGTGAAAATGGACCTGTTCCATTTCTCGACGTTCGCGTTTAGGTTACCCCATAAGGCACCATTACAAACCGCCTGTGCAGGAAACCTAGTGACAGTGGTGTCAACGAGAACTTCCATTCCCAAGTGCCTCGCTCCGTCAAGTATGCGGTCGGTAAGCAGCACTTCGTCACAGCTCGAAAGAATTCATCCTCACTGGCAGAAGCCTGTGAGAGTTTCCGCTGCCAAACAGCACAAGCACCAACTATCCCGAGGCAATCACAAAAGAGATTGTCGGAAAGGTTGCCACACTGCCCAACGACGTGAGCCACCTAGTTAAAAAAGAGTCCGCTATACTTCAACTACCCTTTCGCACAGAAGACATTCAGCGGACGGCGAAGCATCCAGTCGAGCGCTCGGGGTTCCCGGTCAATGTTGTGTCTGAACACACTCCCAACCTCAAGGATGCCCTCGTGAAGTCAGAGCTGAATCAAACAAAGCGCAGCGCGAGTCGCCGACACTAGAACGAGTGACGCGCCCATAACAGCAGAGGCGAGGAAGACCGGTCAACCCCTGCATCTCATGCTCTTTTGTTTTGCCGAGCTGCATGTGTGATTCCCCCAGCATTATCTACATGATGAAGTTTGCACTGTGTCGCAAACGGTATGTTGTGGAGACCTTTAGGGTCGCACGAGACCGTTTCGAGTTGCACCACTACAAAGCACGTCACAGGATGCTCGACAAACCGTGGGGTAAACACATGGCTACTGATCACCAGCAGCACGGAATCATCAAGAGCACAGACGTGATTTTCATTGAGGCCAAAGGCTGTGGAAACACGGTTGGCCAGATGCCAGAAGAAAAAGCAGGGAGTCCATCGAGATTCAAGAGCGTCGTCCGGAAATCAAGATCTCCTTCCGATGGCCATTGAAGGCGCTAGCACCCTCAAAAAGAAGTTGCTAAATCTTGCTGTGTCTCTACAGGGGTGTACACACTATTATTGTGATGTACACCTTCGTGCACTATATCTGCTGAGCTGCGCCATACCCACTCTTTCAGCGCATTTCTCCTTGTCTGTTTTACATGCAAATTCATACACTCAATTTCATAGCGCTATCGTGTGTTTCCTTTGCTTTGAACATGGAGATACATACGCATCAAGCTTGCCTTCGTTATAAAAGGCCAGTTTCGCTGCGTGTTAAGTGTTCTGACGATGGGTGACCGGCCCAAAACGTCAATAATTTTCTCGATGTCACTAATAACAGAATTTGTATCCAGCGCATGCGCCAAGAGTTAATTGAAATCAAATAGAGCGGTTGTCAGTTGACTAACCTCCGCTTGCTAACATTGCTGACAAGAAATCAAATCTTTACTTACCAGAACAGGGGCGAACACAGGCTGGAGCAGGTTCAGACCAATTTCCACCTCTCAAGCATACCGTTGTTGTTAGATCCATAGTTTTGTATCCGTCAGAACAAGAGTACGTTCTTCGTATGCCGATGACTTCCGTCCCTGTGTCTATCCGCCCGTTGGATGGAGCGAATAATTTAGGGCATGAGTTTGTGCCGTCTGTAAATTAAAATACATTTGCAGCAGAACATGTGTGTGGAGACTCGTGGCCAGAAAAAGGTTCCAATTTGCACAATGTTTCGGGGATTATTTGCTAAGCAGTCCGCCCCAAATGTCCGAAAATATTGTCAAATGAGAGAGCTCGAAAGCTCAGGGCTTTTTTTGCCTAGATCTTCGTGCATCATGGGATGACAATAAGCCGAGTGTTGAGATGGACCTAAAGGAACAGCGATCTCTGCTAGGCGTGATGTCCGATGTAAGCTATCTAAGCCGTTTTGCAATATGGAACTGATTCTGAGTAGCCGATTACTTTCGTGTGCATCGTGCTGCTCTTGCCTGCGCAGTGTGACAAGAAAATCTATTTTTCTGCGGCATGATATCAACCAGAACCACCCACCCGTCGCTCTCAAAATCAACTCGAAATCTAGTCAACTTACTAACCGATATCGGGATGAAATGGGCTACCAAGTGAGCTTTGGCGACATAGAACAAAAATGAAAGATAAGCGGCAATATTAATGACCCGGACCAAGTAGAGAAAGTTGCGTTCCCCAAACTTCCATGTATTCCTTAGAAATATCTCAACACTAAATCGAAACCTCGGCCATGTAAAGAGAGATTGATGTCAGATAACCACGTCTCATATGAAAACTAGTAAATGGCGATATTAAACTTTGTAGGGCATGACGGGACACGAAATGCCAGTCGAGAGCAAAAGGAATGTATAGTACTTCGAAAGACTCTCTGGTGAAAGTAAAGTGCAGGAGATGCATAATACTCTGTAGTAGTGAATTTGTCAGGGGTGAAACAATTCTTTTTACATGCAGAGGTATATTTACGCTGATAGAGACATATTGGCAATGTGCGCTCCTCCCTGCGATGTTCGTGTAACACCCCCCCCCCCACGCCGTTTATTTTAATTTATTGGGCACTATCTGATGATAATGTAACTTAGCAGAAGTTCAAACTAATTGCCCTCCACCATCTGCATAAAATGGGTGGGGATTCCTGTCAACATTCCGAGCGTTTATCTCACACTCACCTGTACACACTGGGTTGCTAGACCAAGTGCCATTCGCCAAGCACACTGCTGTCTGATCACTGCCCAGCTCATATCCAAGATTGCAGGTCACAGTACGCACACTGCCGACAGTGTCCTCTCCATCCGAGACCTTTCCATTGGACACCTGCAGGGAACCACACTGCACAAGTCCTGCACAAAAAAAACAGCACAGAAATAATAATAATTATTATTTATTACAACATCTCAAGACTCGGCGGAAACACCGGTCAATGTTACGAGAGTGGGTGATTGCCAACCACGGCGATAAATAGAAATGAGGGAAGGGAAAAGAAAGAGTAGCAAAACGAACAGCAACAACAACTCCGTAAAGAAAGATAATGTCAAATAAAAACAGTGAAAAACACAGAGACGCAAAGGACATGTGGATAATGAGCTATGTATGTCGTAGTAAATAAGGGGCGGCACGGATCTTAAACAGGCGGAGTGAGGTCAGGTCCTTAACTTCTCTGGGTAGAGTGAGCCAAACAGAATAAGCAATAAAGAGAGGGGAGCGCAAAAGAGTGGATGAGTTACACTTAGGGAGTAAGAGCAAGTTTCTAGTTCTTAGAGAAGAGAACCAATTAAAACACATGAGATGAGGTGGGCACAACTCAAGCTTAATAGAATGGACAAGAGAAGACAGGTGTGCACTGCTTCCATGTGATAACGGGGTTGTGTGAGCGACTTTATAAAGGGCGGATGATGAGAGCATGCGGGGTTGACGGAGGAGAATTTTAAGTATTTTCTTGTGATGTATTTCAAGCTTTGCAGCAGCGAAAGAGGATAACCCAACCCAAAAGTGGGAGGTAGGAGCAGTGGGGGAAGAGAATTCCTAAGGATTTACTTGATTTTTTTACAGATATATTCGATGTGAGGTACCCAAGAGAGTGCAGAGTCAATCACAATGCCAAGGTGTTTGTGAGAAGACACTATGTCAATTGGATTTGGAAAGCTGGCATGGATGAGGGCGGGAAGAGCATGATTTTTGTTTTTGATAGATTTGGGGACAACCTCCAGGACGACATCCAGGAAAGATCTTCCTGAATGCCAGCACGCAAGTTGTTTTTCAGGCCAGTGAGGGAATCTGATGAGGTGAGAAGGGTCGTGTCGTCAGCAAACAGAGACGTTCCAGGGAAGACTGCAGGTAAGTCGTTTACGTAAGTTATAAATAGTAGGGGACCAAGAATTGATCCTTGAGGAACGCCTGACAATACTGGCTCTGCAGCCGAGGATGTGCCAAGCACAGTTACGTACTGATAACGCCCAGAGAGATAAGATTTCAGTCAGGAGAGTGGTTGTTTGCGTACCCTGAATGCATGCTCGAGCTTTGCCATAATAGTAACGAGAGTAACGAGAGTCGTTAAGTGGCTTCAAAAAAGATATCTGTTGGGAAAGTATTTTTTTAGAAAAAGTTTGTATAAAGGGGCAGCATTTGTTTTCTTTGGATTCTATCCAATGAGGTGCTTCAGCCCATTATTGCTGTGGTCGACTGATTTACAGATTTCCGACAAAGTCACTGAAGTCCGGAAACCGTTTAGCTAGAACAGTTGCGTGTTAATTGAAAAACATTTTAACAGAATTAAGTACATGATAAAGTGCTGTAGTTTCAGGAGTCAGAAATAAGCCTGCCTGAACAAAGAGGGTTTTGGAACATTGGTTGCTGCTCTGCACTGGTCGACTAGTCTGCTTTGGGTACAATTGACCATATTCCACTGACGTTTAATCCAGGGAAACGTGTAACCCAAATTGTGGAAAATACGTGGACGTTCCATGCATATTGGGACCATGCATGCCCCGTTGTTTACTAAACGTGTAGTCCGTCAACATGAACAATACGGTGATACAGTCAAACCTCTTTAGGATGAACATCAAGGGACCGATGATATTTGTTCGCAATAACGGGAGTTCTTCTTATCCATATGTTTTACCCAGTGAATACACAGGGTTTTATCAAATACAGTTTCGAATACTAGTTCTTCTTAGGCAAACATTTGTCTTATTAGTGTTCTTCCTAACGAGGTTTTACTGTAGTTGGTACCAAACTGAAGCAGCACAAGAGTTGCAACAATCGGCAAACGGTAAAGGTGGACTGTAAGCTGCAGTTGTTTTACTAGAAATTTTCACGTGAACACTTTGCTGCTTGGGATCATGTCACATCCCTTCTTGCCTCTGTACCATCCCAAGCAACCACATGTACATGTACCCTGATATTCGTCTGACTCCACACCCCGTGCGTGGCCAATGACACGATACAGTGTCATAACTTATTCCCTTGGAAAATATCTGCCCTTTTAGGCATTGAGCACTTTGTGCGCAGAGAGGACTTCTATAACAAAAAGCGTGCTTTTTCGCCATTAATCTCAATGTAAACGTAGCATAAACCTGAGACTGGAAACATACGGGTGAATAGAGTTGTATCTGAGGAGCAACCTGGAAACATTGACGGTTGCAAAGTTTGCCCAAGACCGCGTGAACTGGAACCCGGTTTGCCAGTGTTATCTTGGTCACACAGGTGCAAGTGTTTACACGTCGTATGAACGGCCTATTAGTGGACGTGCCTTATCAGGTTATATCTGTCATTTTCATATATGTGGAAACATTGCAAACCGAACTCCTTTGATCAGATCAAAGAGTGGCCAGAACAACTGTTGATGGATATAGCATGTTCCGAGTGGAAACAGTTCAAGTACAAGATACACAACACTTACTATTGCAAGATGGTGTGGAAGACCACTCCGCACCGGGAAGACACGTGACCATTGAGTTACCCGAAAGCTCGAAGCCGGCATTACATGTGATGTTGCGAACACTGGTCACTGTATTTGAGCTGCCTGCCAATACCGCATTATTAACAGTGAGCGTGGGACATTCCGCCACTCCTGAAACACAGCAGAATAAGAATAAACACCATTCACGTTGCGAATAACGAGCCTGGTTCAGGATCAAGACGGAACTTGTTCTTTATGAGCATTCAAAGTGTTGTTTGTTTGTTGCAATCTTATTAGATATCCTCGGTGAAGTTTGAAGTTACTGGCCGACCTGTTTGCACTGACGTCTAATCAACGGCACCGGGTTTAAACAAGCTCGATGCGTCAAGGTCCCAGTGCTTTAACTGAGATAGGCACCGCGAGTTTTTCATGAATGCAGACGACGTTACAGGCAGAAACCGGAAAGAGTGGTCAACCAAGCAGATTCGTAATACTCCCACCAATATTGGCGAATAGCTTTCTACTTCCTCAAAAGCCACAGCAAGGAAATGGATGATCAAGAGGATGTGTTTCGCTATGTTGGAAACTAGCTTAGAGCCAAACAAATCTAAAATAAGCCTAGCTGTGTATGGGCTAAAGTAAGTCTGCTGGTATATACTGACGGTACTTGAAGACACATGAGCTGCGGTTACATCTAGAACATTTGAAATTATATGAGTTGTTGGTAAACCTGAGGGTCGCTATGCCACCCGCACGGAACTGGTAGTCATGAAGTACAGACATCTACCATGTTATAATTTGTGTGCAGACTGTCTCCCTCACTTGCAGCACGAACGGTTTGTTGCATCGCTGAAAGTTTTCTGCGTCTTCCTGCGTCTTTTGCAGCATACAGGATAGACTCATCACTGTAAAGTCCACTACTTCGTGATTTTTATTTGTAGAATACATGACAGGCGTATTCAGTGTGCTTCGCAGGACTGCGAGATGCTGCAGAAGACCAGGTTCGACCTTTCTGGACCGCCATTCACCGACGGTGGGCTACACGATGCTGGAGGAACTAGATTCCAGTGAAAACCCAAGATTCCTTTGCTCCTGGACGCTCCGACGTGTTGTGATATCTGCCAGGTGCGCAGTAACTAGTATTTTCATCGCTATTGCGAGGACGACGCCGATCGGCAAACTCTCGCTCACAGCCATCACCAGCCTCTCAAAACCATCACTTGGCATCCCCCAGAGGTATAGGAGAAAGCCAAAACAGCTCTCAACAAACAAAAGCTAAGGACGATGGAAAGAGAGCATGTCAAAAAGAAGACGAACAGTATGAAGTTCAAATGGGTTTGAACACTCGTCCCACCAACTATACCACTTTCAATAAATCGTGACGCCATTTTGTTTTAACATGAATATCGCGGATTCACAGGATTTAAAAAATAGAGATTTGTGTTTTTTTCCAATCAATATTCTCTAGAATATTGCTTTGACGAACGAACGAATATTCTATAACTTGGACTCAGTAGTAGGCATTTCCCAAATCTGCCCGATTTTTCGCCTTAGGGCTTTTCGATCGGCAAAGAAAATGTCCAAATTTGGACATAATTATGAGCCCCAAAGTAAGAATTCGGCTCAAAGCGGTTCTTGAAGTCACCTCTTGCAGCAACCATCTGCGTTACCACACACGCAGGTGAGGCACTATAACAACCATTTACGGGGAATTCCCCGCCGAATTTGTAAATTCGGTGCAATTATCGGCGATTTCGTGGCAGCCATTGATTTCGGCGTCTTTTCCTTGTGACCGTTTTCGGAAATGCCTGAAGTCGCAGTCACTTTTCGCAGATAATGGCTACAGAAATTATATTTGCAAGCTGTTGAGGCACTAAATCATCGATTATTGGCGAGTTGAAGAAGAAAACTGCGTATTCGGCGAATAGATCGGTGATTTCTTCAAAACCACTGTTTTCGGCCAATTTTTTGGCCGGCTGATCTGGGAAATGCCTACTCAGTGGAGCGTCCAGCCCCTATAATTATAGAGTCCATTGGTCCAAAATCCAACGTACAGAGTCCAAACTTGGAATTAACTGTGAGCTCAAAGTTTAGATAGACCTGTCCAGCTAATTGGCTTAACCCTAGAGTCCATTGGTACAAAATCCACTGTACAGAGTCCAAACTTGTAAATCAACTAAAAAGAGTCTTTATGTGGACAAGATGTCCAGGACAAAAAACTCCTGAAAAATAGTCCAGCCAATTAGGCATCCCCTATCCAGAGTTCAAATTTAGACATAGGATCTGCTGTAAGCAGTGAATATTAACCAGAAAACTGCCTGTCCCTTTTATCCTTTATATCATTCACTTCTCAAGAAAAAGTCTTCAAGTTCCACTGCCTGCAGCCACTCCATTCCATGAAAAACCCTACAAACACCAAATCAAGTTGTCTCTTCGCAGACAATGTAAATTACAATATCTCAGTCATGGAGTGGTCTCAAGATATTGTGCACGCACACATACATGCACACACTCACACAATGCCAAGAACACACCAATGAAAAACCAAGAATCGGAAGAGAATAGGGTATAATGGAGAGCCAAGGATTCATTTAATTGTTTTAAAATTATTGTGTGCGCGCTTGCGCGCACAGTAATTGAACGCGCGCGCGCACACACACACACACACACACACACACACACACGCACACACACACTCGCACACACACACACACACACACACACACACACACACACACACAAACACAGAGTTATACAACGCCAAGAAATCACCGCAAAAAGATTAGCTCCAATAGCCATGCAAACGTCCGACCATTTACACGTAAATTAAGAGAGATAACAAGTAATTATATGAAACAAATGCAAACGTGGACGAGTGCACACACGTTTACATATGTAGTAGTGTAAGAGAGTAACATAGTGCAATAGCCAGCATAATACTAGCACATGCTGAGAGTGCAATATCAAACTTCGTTATTGCTCATGACCATGCAAATGTTCAGCAGCACTCTGTTCCGCAAGCTTCTGAAGATCAGCACACCTGCAACGAATAGATAGAACTCGGATACGCTTATTACCGTAATGACGCATGGGAGCACACAACTACCAAATGTTCAACGAATGTGATGCTCAATGAAAATCCATCTACTCAAAGACCTGTAAACAGGTAATAGTGGTGAGAATAATCTATTAATAATACGAGGAATAAGATCGTTTGTGCACACTCAAGACGCACAGACATACATGTAGTGTACTCCACAGTGTTTACCATCACTGAAATTAATTTGAAATAAGATGATTTAAACAATCCGTACAGCGTTACTGTCAGTCAAACAGTCTTCCCCCAAATGAAAATGCAATGATTTGCTGTCAAGAGGCAATTACACTGAAACAATGTCATGTTTGTGACATCAAAACGGTTACTTCACGGAAAATGAGTATTAACTTGAGAAGTTTTTCTTGTCATCGGCATACGAGCAATCCTCCTCCTACTATTAGTACACTGGCACTGCGTTTGTGGATCTCGTTGTATTTTACATCATACGTGAGGAAGAGAGTCGTGGAGTTCACATAATTATCACAGGGATAAAAATACATTTCTGATGAAATAAAATTGATGATAGCTAGACGATCATACACGATTGATGCAAAGCCCTTGCAGTTCCTGAGGACTGATATTGTTGTTACGCAACTATTACGAAGTCGTTGATTACTTTTAGGGCATTCATTCAAGCAACATCAAACAAATGCGTACGCTCCTTGAGAATGGAAAACAAATTCAAGCATAACGACAGAACAGCAGACCAATCGAAACGAGTAAAAGCTTCCTTACCTCAGTCATCGTCCGCAATGCAGTTGGACAGCCTTTTCACACAGTGGTACATGCAGCTCTTGTCCAGTCAAACAGGGTATCTCTGTGGCGTCGAACGAAAGAGAATGTCAGTGTACTGAGTCGTCAGAGTGGAACTGTGCTGAACTTTCGGCTTTCATCCCGGGCACTGATGAAACCTCTTCAGAGAAACACAAGACGCTTTCCAGATTGGATTTTGAACGTCTCCTTTTCCTCCTTGGTTACTTCGAGACAGACTACTGTCGGTAACTGCACAACAGAACTGGCAGCCATGGCTGAAGTGAAGAAAGGAATGCGCTGCCACGAGGCAAGCAAAACTGAAAAGGTGTTTGTTCTCTTTCGGGCACTACACACAGAACGGCGTAACTGGACAAACTGGCCCCCTGGACCGTGAATAGGGTCTTGTAGAAAAAGTGTACTCCTTATAGGGGTTCCGCGGCTGGATGGAGCTGATCAATATTGAGCGGACTCCTGGACTCTGTATAGTGGATTTTGGTCATGGGACTGTATATAAAGTGTTGGATATCATACAGTGCATGGACTCTATTCTGAGTACAACATACATGCTGTGCATCGATAACTTCACTCCTTCAGACTCAACATTCATATTGCATACAGATTTTACCCAAGAACAAGCTTCCCAGATCTCAGAACATAGTTAATTTCTATACTATCATCCTCAATACTGTTAGCTAAATAACACAACCAAAAGTGACAATTTTTGGAATTTTCGAATATCGAATAATGCTGCCTGCATTCGAGTATTCTTTCTGGTGTTAGTATTCTAGAATGTGCGAGTAATTCAGATATTCCTTACATCACTGAAAACATTTTTTCACCACCCGCACTCGATTTTTTAATTTTTTTAGTGTTTTCTTAATTCGGATAGCTCAACAGTACAGAAGTACAACTACAAAGAGTACCGAATAGAAGGCCCCGAGAACGGGAAACCAAAAAAACAAAACAAAAACAGCAACATCAATTTATTGATTATGCACATTGCTTGAAAGCAAATCACAACAATGATTAAGAGTTAAGCTGTCTTTTAGCCAAATAGCCATGACGCGGAAATCTGCGATAGTAGTGCAGGAATTCAGGTCGTCTGGTAAATAATTCCAAACAAGAGCCGATTTACTTGAAAAGGAGAGAAAGCCAGACATAGATCTATAGCAATTGATACTCATGTTATGAGTTGTTGAGCCGCGAGTAGTTCGGGTAGACGTACAGATGGGAAAGAGGGACTGCAAGCAAACAGCCGGCTTAATACAGTAACAGTGGAAAATGAATACAGGGAACAAAAATACTGATCGATATTGGAAAGAGGAAACATTGAGCTGGTGAAGAAGTGGCGTGATATTAGCTTGGGGTGATGCTCCACAAGCAACTCGTACAGCGCGCCGGTGGAGTGAGGCTAGCTTGTTTCTATTTTTAGCGGATATAAACGAAAGGTATACAGGGAGAGCATATTCTAGATCAGGCTGAATAACACCGACAACGAAAGTACGGCGCGAAAACAGGTTCATCTGGCGGAAAGATCGGCGCAGTACACCGATCTTCCGCGAGGCTTTCCGTACGACATTGTTAGTGTGTTGGTCAAAGGACAGCTTCTTGTCAACAACGACTCCTAGGCATCTGGTGCTTTCCACTTCCCCGAGCGTAACATTTGACAAGGTGATTTGCAGTTGTTGACTTTGTTGTTGTTGCTGACTCCCTGTGGCACGTTTGGGATGGATTTGCATGACAACGGTTTTGTCGGTATCTATCTGCATGCTAAGGGAGCCAAGGTGGTTGTTTAGTATCTCCAGTGCCGATGACAACTTGGCTTCGGAACGCGCCTTCGACGGATCACTAGAGTAGACTGTCTTGTCATCTGCGAACATCTGTAATTTTGAACCCGCTGTCTCCGCAAGGCGGGGAAGGTCCCTCAGGTAGACATTAAAAAGGGTAGGGCCTAAAGTACTTCCCTGAGGAACTCCTCCAGACACTGCGAGACTTGAAGACTGGCTGGCTTGCGTGACAACACGCTGAGATCTCCCGGCGAGGTACGACGCAAACCAACGCAGGGCGCTGGCATGAACACACATGCCATGGAGCGCAACGAGTAACTGTTGATGCTGGACGCGATCAAACGCCTTGCTGAGGTCGACAGAGGCTACACAGGTAGTCTCTCCGCGGTCCTGCCCAACCATTACCGCCACTTACACATTAAATAGGGTACATCAATTCCAAGATAGGGTCTCTTTGCTGCATATGTGACTAAACATAACATTTATTATTATTTATAGCAACGTATGCAGCAGAGAGAACGTATTTTGGAATAGAGATATCCTATGTAGGTTTAACGTAGCAGAAGCATGGCAAGTGGGTTCGAGGAGGGGTTTCGTTCACGTGTTGGTGTTGGTTATTGACTGTAACGCACAATACAAGAGGTTCCATTGACCAGTTTTATCCCGAAGTAAAGATATGTTACCATAGTCGTGTGCACACTGCCTCCTTCCACTGCTGAACAAACAGTATGTTGCCACATTGACAGCATTCTGGCACAAAATGCATACAATGTATGGAAACTCAACAAATGCCAAATTTACAACCAGCTGCCCGATTGCTCACTTCCTCAGCTACTTCAATGACTCTCAAATTGAAGCAAGTGTTATGGCTGCCAAGGTATGTTTTGATGGTTCCATGAATAAGCTTCGAGCATCAGATCTAAAGGAAAGGCCTCTAGCGGTACGACCGTCGTAGCGTAGTTTTGCGTTTTCTGGCAGCCGCATGTCCTAAAACATGCTACGTTTCTCCCCCTTCTTATGACCATCTTACGGTTGTGGAAATCCCGCTAAAGTAACGCTCGCATCCTTACTGCTTTATCGCATACATGCACGGAAGTTCATATTATCCCAATCCAGCAGAGCAGAGTAGCAACTATTTTCAGGTTGAAAATATTTTCTGCTTGAAAATATGATACATGGCTATTTCGCACACACTTAAATATCAAGTACTTACGATTGCAAACTGGCAAGGTAGTCCACTTCTCACTAGGTAGACATGTGACAAAAGAGCTACCCGAAAGCTCGAAGCCGGAATTGCATGTGACGTTGCGAATACTGTGAACTCTTGTTGAGACTCCTGACACAACTGCATTATTAATAATTAGCAGAGGGCATTCTGGTACTCCTGTGACACAAAAGATCAAAAGAAAATACAGCATATTACATATTCTGCCAGTGCCAACCCTCACACTGGTAGGAGAAAGTGTTTGTATTTAAGAGCATTTGCTTGGTGTAAAGTATGCAGTCATATGGGGAATGAGTTATAACAAATTATCAGTGTTGTCCATCGTCACAATATGTTCATTGGCTCCCTGTGTCATCACGAATGCTCAGTTCTTGCCCTGTACTCGTTGTCACGTTCTTGTGTGATATGCTTGTTCTTCTGTTTGTTTTGTATAACCCCACTACACCCCAACCGTACTCTGCCATGTCTACGCATTCCCTTCCTCTGCTCTTTTCACCACGTGCAGGAATACAACCTCAAAATCTCTTTGTATCGTTTTTTGATGACAGCGTTACTGTTACTCATGTGTTCTTGAAACCCCTGGATAGTCAAACGAGAGATGTTTTTTTACACCCAAATTATTTGTCCAGAAAGGTGACTGAAATGTAGAATTTGGGCGAGACCAAACAAAATTAGATTCCCTGGACCTCCCGCACCAAAATCGAGCCAGCGCCATTTTTTATTTTATTTTTATAAAGTTTATGTGCAGTACTGATCGTGTGAGAAGATCTGTGATGTGGAATCACACAAAACCGGGCTTGTACGTCTCCCTGATGTACAGATCAGGGTATTCGTTGGCCAAAATATGCAAGCGAACCAGTTCAGCATTAGGGGTACTACAACCACATTGCACTCATTTGCCCATCCAATGTAAACTATTATTTTATCAGTGCTATACTCTCCCTATATTCGACTATTGCGATACCGCTTGGTGTGGCCTTTCTGACACAATTCGGAATCAATTAGAAGTCCACCATAGATTTATATTTCAGCAAGAGTACTTTTTGCGTTTCGCATGCGGATGCAGTTTTTGGCGCTCTGCCCAAACGTGAGATTTTGACTCTTTTCGTAGTTCGGTGAGCCTTTGGCTCCCGTGGACCCACGGAAACGAAGATGAATGCTGAGATAGACCTCGCCCTGCTGGGCTTTGACAGGCTGAGAGAGCTGGGACGGCAACAGGGTATTGTTGGATGCGATGGCCTCGCAAGACCGGAACTGGTCTGTGCGCTGCGGGACGCTGGAATTGGATCTCACTGGACCTGTAGTAGTAAGTCGCAGTCTGACACTCTAACTAGCCTAGTAGACCAGGTCACTTGCCTCACCAAGGAGCTATCCTTGATAACATCAATGAAGGCCGAAATACTTACATTGAAGGCAGATTTGGCCGATCTACGTGCATTGTCTGTACCCCATGACAGTTTGCAGAGCTACCACCCTGCTGGAGCTCTTTTGAAACCAACCTTGCCTGCTGTCACCGTACAACCCCAGAACCTACGCACATCACCAAATGCAACCCAGATTGAAACCAGGCCCGCCAAAAACGGCACCTATCATCCTCCAGCACTGTACAGCACCACCGTACAGGCTGGGCACCAGGGACCAAATAAGGCACACGACACACGTAATGAGACCACCGTTCCCTCGACACGAGTCACATCGTACTACGAGAATCGCCCAAAGCCCTCGGAACAGCTGTCAGGAGGGTCCCGCACGAAGTGTTGCGCACTATATTTGGGCAACGTAAAGAGTGGATGCTCCTCTGACTCGATTGCCAAGTGGTGTACAAGACGAGAAATACAAGTGATCAAGTGTTCAGTCTCCGAAACCAAGTACTTTGGAGTGGCATTCGCCCACGTCGTCATTCCAGCGGAACACAAGGAAGCAGCCCTCGGTCCAGATTTCTGGCCTCCAGAGGTCACTGCAAGAGAATGGCGCTTTAAGCAGGACAGGATCACCTCTGACCACGCTTCAAATCCGTAAACATGTCTACTCTAAATCCACTCGCACCACCCTTCACCCCCAGATCACATCCTTCATCCTTCTCAGTGCTCTCACTTAACTGCCGCTCCATAGTAAATAAGTTAGCTGAGCTTAGTCAAGTCTGTGAGCAGTATTCTCCAGACATAATCTGCCTATGTGAAACGTGGCTGACAGCTGCCATAGACGTCTCAATTCCAGGCTACACGTCATACCGCCTGGACCGCCCACCCACGACCAGCTCTGATAACCTGCCAGCAAGAGGCTATGGCGGTGTTGCTACTCTTGTAGCTGACAGATCGTTCATGTCCATCAAGCGCCGCTTCGACCTTGAGCGCTGTGGACTGGAGGCGGTTTGGCTCGAATTGCGGCCAGTGATCCTTCCCTCACTCCCCCTCATCATCTGCTCTGTTTACAGACCCCCTGGAGACAGCATCTCCCAAGTTCAGGCATTTAGTGACCTCCTAGAGGACTGTCTGTCCACTATTAGCCTTCCCAATTCGGCGATTGTACTTGCAGGAGACTTGAATGCTCGCCACTCTGACTGGTCTCCTAGTGACACCACGAATCGTGCTGGAAGGGAGTTCCGAAACCTCTTCTCTTGTTTTGGCCTTAAGCAAATGGTGACATTCCCCACACACTTTACCCCCCACGGCTCAACATCGTGTATTGACGTTGTACTCACGGATCATCCTCACCTACTACTCTCTGTTACATCTGTTGCTCCTCTTGGTGCATCTGACCACGCACAGATCCTCAGTCATTTCCTACTGCCTACTGATGCTGTTTACCGTGAGGAACCTGCTGCAAGCGGACATCCCGCTGCTGCACCCCAAAGCCACTTCAGCAATGTTCCTGCAAAGCCGGAATATGACTTAAAATCCGTGCCATCTTCAGTCTGGGATAGTGTGAATGCAGAGCTCTCTGATATTGACTGGAGCTGGCACCTGCGTGCCAGCAACGTCGATGATGCGCTTTCACACTTTTCTTCCATTCTCAACAGTGCCCTTGAGAAGCACCTCTGGCCATTCGGAAAGCAGCCGTATTCTCACCGCTGCCCACGGCCCAGTATGCCACCCTGGGTTGATGCCCATCTCCGCACAGCAATCAAGTGGAAATATGATCTCTATAGCATTTTTAGGAAGTACCCAACACAACAAAACAAACAAGCATACCAACAGCAGCGAAATATAGTGAAAACCCTGACGCGGACAAAGTACAGAGCTTATATCCGCTCAATGAAAACTACTTTGCAGGGTAGACACCGTCCATCGCTTCACCAGTTTGTGAGACAAGCAAGAATTCGAAACGTATCACGGGAAATTCCGTCACTCACAACAGGGACTCAGCAGGCGGCTGACCCTTTGGCCAAAGCTACGGCATTAAACGCCCAGTTTGCCTCTGTGACTCGGCCAGATGACCCGTTGCTCTCTATTCCCCCTATTCTCACCCCCTCGGAGCCCTCAGCTTGTTTCACGTCCGTCATCACCACAACTGCCACTGTCCGGCGTCATCTGAAGAAGCTTCCGACTTGCAAGGCATCTGGTCCTGACGGCATCCCCAACCGGGTCCTCAAGGCCCTGGCACCATCCATAGCATTCCCTTTGTGCCATATTTTCAACATGTCATTTACCACGGGCATATTCCCTTCCACATGGAAAACAGCGAAAGTCATACCTGTATTCAAGAAAGGTTCCCGCCACGAACCTGCAAACTACCGCCCTATCTCTCTTCTTCCCTGCGTGTCCAAAGTATGTGAACGCATCTTTTATGACCACTTATACAGACATGTTTCGCGTTTCTGAGTCCCGCACAATCTGGGTTTCGTAAAGGCGACTCCACCTCTCTTCAACTGACCCGCATCGTGCAGCAGGTGTGCCAGCATAGGGATAACAGAGCGCTTGCTGCCATTTGCTTCTTTGACTTGGCCAAGGCTTTTGATACCGTCTGGCATCGAGGACTTTTGGCAAAGCTCGAGCATGCATTCAGGGTACGCAAACAGCCACTCTCCTGGCTGAAATCTTATCTCTCTGGGCGTTATCAGTACGTAACTGTGCTTGGCACATCCTCGGCTGCAGAGCCAGTATTGTCGGGCGTTCCTCAAGGATCAATTCTTGGTCCCCTACTATTTATAATTTACGTAAACGACTTACCTGCAGTCTTCCCTGGAACGTCTCTGTTTGCTGACGACACGACCCTTCTCACCTCATCAACTTCCCTCACTGGCCTGAAAAACAACTTGCGTGCTGGCATTCAGGAAGTTCTTTCCTGGATGTCGTCCTGGAGGTTGTCCCCAAATCTATCAAAAACAAAGATCATGCTCTTCCCGCCCCAGCCGGAGTTCACAACCCTCATCCATGCCAACTTTCCAAATCCAATTGACATAGTGTCTTCTCACAAACATCTTGGCATTGTGATTGGCTCTGCACTCTCTTGGGTACCTCACATCGAATATATCTGTAAAAAATCAAGTAAATCCTTAGGAATTCTCTCCCCCCACTGCTCCTACCTCCCACTTTCTTGCAAGCTTCTTTTTTATTTCGCCTACCTTCGCCCAATATTTCATTATGCAGATACGTCTTGGGTTGGGTTATCCTCTTCCGCTGCTGCAAAGCTTGAAATACATCACAAGAAAATCCTTAAAATTCTCCTCCGTCAACCCCGCATGCTCTCATCATCCGCCCTTTATAAAATCGCTCACACAACCCCGTTATCACATGGACGCAGTGCACACCTGGCTTCTCTTGTCCATTCTATTAAGCTTGAGTTGTGCCCACCTCATCTCATGTGTTTTAATTGGTTCTCTTCTCTAAGAACTAGAAACTCTCTCTTACTCCCTAAGTGTAACTCATCCACTCTTTTGCGCTCCCCTCTCTTTATTGCTTATTCTGTTTGGCTCACTCTACCCAGAGAAGTTAAGGACCTGACCTCACTCCGCCTGTTTAAGATCCGTGCCGCCCCTTATTTACTACGACATGCATAGCTCATTATCCACATGTCCTTTGCGTCTCTGTGTTTTTCACTGTTTTTATTTGACATTATCTTTCTCTTTCTTTACGGAGTTGTTGCTGTTCATTTTGCTACTCTTTCTTTTTCCCTCCCCTTACTTTTATTTATCGCCGTGGTTGGCAATCACCCACTCTCTTTAACATTGGCCGGTGTTTCCACCGAGTCTTGAGATGTTGTAATAAATATATATTTAAAATTCTTTACAAGGATCGATGTTTTCCTTCGGATGCCCTTTATCGACTTCCACACACGTCTCCTCTCTCGGTTCGTCATAAGCACCATCTCTGCATACTGGGTCATAAAATATTCCTTCATAAAACCCCTTCACACATGATGAAGTACAATTGGTTTTTGGCAAGCTCAACCCGAAACGCGCTCATCCTGCCTCTTGTTAAGTCAGCCCAGTATCTAAAGTCTCCTTTGTTTCCGGCTACTCTTATTGGTTATCATTACCATACGGTCTGAAACTTGTTCTTCTATTGGTCAGTTTAAAGATCTACTATCACAACTGAAGTAGACGCAATAATTTTTATCGAAGAACATTCTCGAATACCTGGGTGATGCACGAATTTTGACAGTGCTCACTTCCGTTTTCCTTTGTAATTCTCCATTCATTTTTTGCTTTAATTCATATCGCCTTTGTTTTCCTAGCTTACTATTGCCGTGGCTGGCTCAACGCCCTTGTCTCAGGGGATTCTGTCCCTACATTAGCTATGCTTGTCACATGCTATGAGATTGTGTCTAATAATAATAATAATAAAATACAGAAATTGAACAGGTAAACCGAATACCTGTTTGGTATAAAAACACTTAAAAAAATTTACCGGAAAATACGGTATAAAGTTCAGCATGGCATGCATTATATAAATAGGAAAAAATAAAACAGAATAAAAATTCACCCACCCGCACCAAATTTCACATTGGTGCTGCTAGGGAATTTCGATTTATTTTGGTCTCGTGTTATGAAGTTCCAATGCACCTCGCAGTAAATAGGTATGTCCCCAAAATAGAAGAGAGGCAACACTTACTATTGCAAACAGGCAAGGTAGACCAACTCTTGCTGGCCATACATATGACCATTGAGTTGCCCAAGAGATCAAACCCGGCATTACATGAGACGTTGCGGATATTGTTAACCCTATTTGAGCCGCTTGACACGGTTGCATTGGAAACAACCAGCACAGGGCATTCTGGTACTCCTGTAAGTCGACAAAACAAGAACAAGACCAAGAGGTAGTTGGGAAGTATTAGATTTATATGGATGCATGAATGTAACACTTTTCAACTCGAATAGTAGCAATGACTGGGCACTTTCGGTTGCAAATTGGTATGGAAGACCTGCAATTTCAACTGCAATACTAGTACACAGACTCTCAGTAGCTACTAGTACTCTGATTCTGGCACGTTATTACTGCATTGAATAGTGATTGATTTTCCGTGCCGAATTTCCGACGCTGCATGCATGTCCAATGCGCGGCAACAGTACTTCACATTTTCCTTTTCCCGCGTTATCACCTCAGCTATGCCAGTTTTGTATGTGGAAACCCCCTATATAATAGCAGTTTGGTCTATATATTTAATCATTCAACATCTACCTTCACTGATGAGCTATGTATTAGCGAAACAGCTGTCTGAAGGAATTTATAAATATCGTCTACGGAAGTGTCCTCGCAATGGTGATGGTTGTGTGCAGGAGGGTCTAGTCGGCTAAAGAGCGCAGTATAATGGTGGAGGTGACTCAACATTTTCTTCAATGGCCGAGAGCTCTGTCGCACCCTGTAATAATATGAAACGTGGTTACCATGGATATTTACCGCTGAGCGGAACATTTGAGAGATTTAATCCACTCGATGCAAGTCAGCTCAAGGCCTCGCTTTTCCACCGAAAGTTTTAATCAACCGTGGCGAGATCAATGGAACCGGGGAAAAAAGATAGGGCTTTCTCCTTGTACCCTGCATCCAAAACGCTCACCAAAACTTCGCCGGGAGCATGTCAGGTTGTGCCTTTTATCGATTTCGCCAGTTTCACAGTCCACGACAAAGTAATCGGTCCCTCAGGTTTATGCATACCAAAAATTAACTTAAGGCCCCAGCACATGGGTCATCATACCCAGTGTCATGCGAGAATATTTACTAATCCTGATGAGATTGAAAGTTGAGAGGTGAATGTCCACAAGCACTTACTGGAACAGGTTGGAAGCGGGGCAGACCAAGATCCATTCAAAAGACAGACCAGTTGTGTATCCCCCAACAGGGTATATCCATCACTGCAGGAGAATGTACGTTTGGCCTGGAAATCCACTGTTCCAGGAGATACTATTGCATTGAGGGGTGTAGCCAGCACTGGGCAGGTGATCTCTGCAAGTGATCACACACGATATACAGTGTTGCTCAATGAAATCCAGTCACACCATTCAAGTACGTGCCTGGCGGTGCGCAGCCAGTGACCTGCGAACATTGTGCTGCAGAATGATGCAAGGAGCAAACCTGAATGACACGACTGGATTTCACTGAGCATCACTGTACATTGTTTTCCAGAATCGCCATATCAATGAACCTGCACCTTACACCATTCCAGAAAATCTAGTTTGGTTACGCTACTCAATTTAATCTTTGAAATCATACATTCATTTTTACATACATGCCACAAACCTCATCCTCACAGTACTGTAAAATTCAGCCAAAGATCGCCTGCATCATTCACATTCCAAGTAGTGCAACTGGACACGATTTAGGGAATTATGGGAACCGATGGGACTTTCTGGCGGCACCTGATGTGAACACTTGAAATGAGAACACTATTGTCCTACCGTGCGTCATTGGAAGAGAAATAATTTTTTTTTAAACAAGGTAAGCTCGAAAGTCACTCTGTCACGGACCATGATCGATGATTCAGGCCGCTCGACGTTGAACATCGCAACAACTGCTACATGTTCTGTTGTGCAAACCGTGCAATATTTTCCTCATAACCTCATCAAACCCAGCAGATCCTTGCATCCTGTACTGTGACAGTTGAATCGAATGTCAACTACTTCGAAGTAAGCTTAATTTAGAACGCTTTTTAAATATCCACGAATGGTGCCAGTCCTACACTTTTCAGGTGTACTTCCTGCATACGAAAAAAATCTCTATTACCTCCTGGTATCTAGTCGCCAGAGTACATACTTAGACTCAGTGCTGATCAGAGGAGGCGTCAGGGGGCGAGTAGGCCATGAGGACGCCACCAACATTTCTGCCAATAGAAACCTACCATGGTGTGTGGTGTCCCCACCCATAGGTCGAAAGGGAGAGCCTCAAGAAGGATGTGCATTGTAGATGACGAGGCATTTTTGGTTGATGTCAAAAATTCAAACGTTTGTTTGGTCGCACGTTCAGGAAGACACCTATTGATATGGTGAATAATGCTTTTAGACATGTTCTGTCAAAGTTACCTGTTAACACGGGGGATCCTGGCGTACGTAAAATTCCCCTTTGATCTTAAACTTTCATTTCTGGGGCTTTTTATTGTTGTCTGTGATTCATGGAAAATTGACTCGGTCTGTATCTTGTTGTGACTGACACCTGGTGCTCTTCGAACCTGCTCTCACACTAGTATAATGTTAAGAAAGGTGTAACATTATCTATTGGAAAGTGATTGTTACTTACTTGTACATGTTGGACTGATTGCAGACCAGGTCTGAGTGGTGAGACACGTAACACGTGATACGCCCGTCACCTGATATCCAACATTGCAGCTAAAACTTGCCTTTGAACCAAACAATGTGCCAGCCATGTAGACATATCCATTGACAGGGGCTGATAGAATCCGGCATGTGTTTTCTGTGGACATAAGGACAATGAGACAAAATTATCTAGAGACTTGTATAGATAACAATAAGCTTCACATCTGGACGGAAAGCGTTATTGGCCTTTTCCCTACTCCGTGTACTTGAAGTATGCACATCGCATTTGAATTGTCTACCCAAAAATACATTTTACAACTGTTCTTACCTGTGCAAATTGGACTTGCTGTTGACCATGTACCATCAGCCTGACAGACAGTGTACCTACTTCCACTGAGGGCGTAGTTTGGGTCACACAAAAATCCTCGCACTGTCAAATATGTGGTCCCTCCCATTTCTACACGACCATTCTTTACTGGTGGGATTGGTGCCGAACACATAATTCCTGTTGAAGAAGAAAAAGCAATGGGAAAGCAATCATGGAAGTTCCTCATGTGATCACCCACGCACATGAAATACAACATCCGTAGCAACATCAATTCGCAAATAATGAACATATGTCCGGATACAGTGACAATTTGGCTTCATACTTTCAGCCTGACCAAAAAGAATGATCTCAAATTGAACAACTACGCAAGGGTGAAAGAGTGTTTGTTCCCTGATTTTGACGCACTGTCATGGGTAGAGATCTGGCACCATTTGTTCTACGGAAATGAATCAAGTTTTTCTGTTTTGTGAGGTGCTGAATTAAAGAGGGACATTGTTAAAATAACATTGGCATATCCACTTACTTGAACACATGGGATTGGATTTGGATTGGATTGAATTTTATTCTCATAGCTATGCAGAAGGCGTTACTTCAGTAACGTCTGGCGCTAGCCAGGGTCTACCCAGCTTTAATTTGGTATTTGTTTGTTTGTTTGTTTGTGTCACACCTGGCGCTATCCTGTATCTGTCCCGTACCGTACCGTACCAGCAAACACAGTTGGCCACAAACAGCTGGCCACAATATTTGCTTGCTCCCATATCTGTCCGATACGCGGAGGAAATGCAATTAGGTTCCCGTAGCTATGCAGAAGACGTTCTGAAGTAACGTCTGGCGCTAGCCAGGGTCCACACAGCTTTAATTCCCGTAGCTATGCAGAAGATGTTACTTCATTCATGTCTGGTGCTAGCCAGGGTCCACACAGATTTAATTTGGTATTTATTTATTTGTTTGTCTGTTTGTGTCACGCCTGCCGCTATCCCGTATCTGTCTTGTACCGTACCGTACCATCAAAGACAGCTGGCCACAAACAGCTGGCCATAATTATTATTTGTTTGTTTGTGCCATCGGCATGCCTGGCGCTATACCGTACCTGTCCCGTACCATCAAGAGTACGGTACCATCAAAAGAATGAGTGTAACGTTATGCGAAGTGTATCGGGGGAATGCATTCAGGCCGATAGTGCAGTGACGTTTTGTGTGGATTTGGGTGCGAGGCCGAGATCCCATTAGCGGGCTGGCTGGACTGCTTGTCGACCAGCCCGGGAAACGCATGTAGGCCGATAGCATATTAATTATAACGTTTATAGATGTACAGCAGGGAGTCATACTATGTACAAGCAACTTCTCTTATAACGACACTCGGCGGGGCATCAGAAAGGTGTCCTTATTCGCGAAGTGTCGCTATACCCGGGAAACGCATGTAGGCCGATAGCATATTAATTATAACGTTTATAGATGTACAGCAGGGAGTCATACTATGTACAAGCAACTTCTCTTATAACGACACTCGGCGGGGCATCAGAAAGGTGTCCTTATTCGCGAAGTGTCGCTATACCCGAAGTCTCATTATATGTATTACAGTTGGGTGGGACTTTGCTCTGGGCATGGAAATTCTGTCGTTATTCGCAAATTGTCGTTATATTCGCAGTCGTTATTAGCGAAGTTGACTGTATACGACTCGTATTATGTATACCACCCCCTGCTGTACAGGGAGATTTTCTGGAAAGAAACAGGGAGACAAGAAAATGCAATTTAGAATGGACGTTAGTTGGCGAATAGGTGACAGGATGCGTTAGCAAACACATACTTTTGAAGAGAGATCCCGTCCTCTCCAAAATAAGCGTGAACGGGCAAGTCAGCGCCGGTCACAGGAAACGTCGGAAGAGAGATCCCGTCGACTCCAGAACGCCCGTGATCGGCAGAGTCAGCGCCGATCACAGGAAACGTCAGAAGATAGATCCCGTCCACTCCAGAACATCCGTAATCGACAATGTCAGCGCCGGTCACAGGAAACGTCAGGACAGACATCCAGTCGACTCCAGAACGCCCGTGATCGCCAGAAACGGGACAGGTACGGGATAGTGCGAGGCATGCCGATGGCACAAACAAAAAAATATTTTGGCCAGCCGTTTGTGGCCAGCTGTCTTTGATGGTTTTGATGGTACGGAACGGTACGGGACAGATACGGGATAGCGCCAGGCGTGAAACAAACAAACAAAAAACGGAATAAATAAATAATCCCGTAGCTATGCAAAAGAGGTTACTTCAGTATCGTCTGGCGCTAACCAGGGTCCACACAGCTTTGACACGTTACATGCATGATGAGCAAGGCAAAAAGGCATGGCGTAGGGCCCTGAGTTTCCAAGCTCTCTCGTTTATAGTGGTGATTATATAAAAAAGACAATTTCCTAATAACTATAGACTCACTCGAGGGAAAGATGTAAAAAGATAAGAATAATTAAGAAGAGAGGAAAAAGACAAAATGTTACGAGTATGTCCACCAACGTAATCACTTCAGCTCACAACACGTGCCACACATACTGATGGTACTTGGGTCTCTCTCCCTCCCCCAAGGGACCAACCACGGTCAGTTTCTGGACCCTACCAGAAGTGCCATCAGTACGATTGTGTGGCACGTGTTGTGAGCTGCCTTTGCAGTGAAAAACTTGTCAACGCCTTCAAGGTTCAGCCCGGTTCCATATCATATCTCAGTGGTTAGAGCATTGCTCATGACAAGCAAGGTTCCGGGTTCGAGTCGTGGTGGGTTTGGCGATTTTCTCTTTTCAGGCAGTTCACTTCCCCAACTGATCACTTGAATAAAAATATATACAGTAATTTCTTGCAATACATGGATGCCAATCGATCTAGACGAAGTCTCGCAAATAAAGGACTTGATAGACTACAAAAACCAGTATCGTACACTCAACGCAAAGCTCGCTTTAGCATTCGTTCAAGCCAACCTACAGTGCATTCATTGGAAACTGGCGCCCTAATTTTTTGGTGTTTCCTGCACATAGTTGTACATATCGTGAAAACAATAGTACAACCTGCATTGTGGGACCTGTGCAATTACTCAGAGCCACATTAAATGCCAGAAAAGTCAAAGAACAGGGAAATAGAAATTCAGCCCGGTTATACAAAATTGGGACAGGTATAGCCCTTTCCCAAAGGTGTTCTTTGAATTCGCACTTAGTGTAGCGGGCCACAGTCTCTCGGAGGCAAGAATACAAAAAGATCTCAGTGAACACACTGTTCTTTATGTAAACTGAACTGAACCGAAATGAAGGTAAATTAACTGGCAATAAAAATGTAACTATCACCGGCAATGAAATTAACTGGCATCAAAAGAATCGTGAGCAGCAGCTTTTATACACAGGCAGACTCCGTACACTAATGTACGGGGAAATGCTACGGGGATTGCCCTATCAAAAAATTGATAATAATATTAATAATTTATACAAAAGAGAAAGACCAAGGAACTACAAGTTACGCTATACTGTTCACTAACACCACCAGTTACTAAACAATCAGCTAATGCGCTAACATTGCACGACACTGACCGACGGTACTGACGTTCTACAACAATGAGTTGATTGCTTAGTAACTGGTGGTGTTAGTGGACAGTATAGCGTAACTTGTAGTTCCTTGGTCTTAGTTCCTTGGTCAGCCTGCAGCACCAAGGAGCCACATAAAGCCTGCCCCCACATGCCTACCTTGCCATGTCAACTAAATAAAAATCATCCAAGTCTCTTCCTTAGGTGTGGAGGATCTCTCTTCATTTCTTTCTTGTGATAACAATTTTGTTTTTGGGACTTTTTAACACAATACCCTGGTGTGTTTGACACACTTTTAATACCACTATGAGTCGACCCACACCTGTAATTTTTTTTTGTTTCCTGACCTCCCATGTCCAGTAGAAGCTGAAAATGGGAAAGCCATTTTTTGTGAAATTTCACCCTAAACCTGGTTTTCGCAGATTCTGGGCCATGTGTTTTTATAGCGGTGAATTGCACATAATACATACTGGTGATGAAATGCAGTGAAGCACGTATATGACGCACTCGTTGAGATTGGAATTAATTTACACTCACCTACTCTCTTTTATGTCTAGGTCTACGGGGAAAATTCGAAATGGGTGCTCGTGTCATCACACAGGTACAGTTTATGACCGGTACATTCTGTCACATTTTCGGAGAACCTTTATGAGAGCATGTCTGAGAAAACCAGAACATTATGTGCAAGTCGATCTCTCAAATTTCGCTCAAATTTTTCAGGTACGTTTGCTTTGGGGTGTAGATCGACATTCTAAAACCCTCGCCAGATCTTTTGAAGGGAACCATGAAATTGGTATACCCCTCAATATTGGCCCAGTATTGGCACGATTAATGGGTCTACAAACGAGCCACGGCACAGCATACAAGAACAAGCTACGAACAAAACTCCATCAAGCCAACATTACCTCACCTTGAGTGTCGAAGAGTTCTTGGGCCAGCCCCACTTAGCCAAGCCAGCATCCCAGAAGATGAGGGCTATCATCCCTTGACGCCACAAATGATCGTCTCGAAAATAGCCAAATTACAAGCGCTGATAAAACAGCGAGCTACGTCCTCAATTAGCAAACACTATACACCGGCAGATAGTAGAACACCCCTTCTAGCACTGAGGACATGTCCCCATCATCCTTTTTGGGTTTTCTTGAAATAAACAATTTTGAATTTTTCCACTCGACCTATCCGAAATACGTCCAAACTCATACCTGCGCAGGAAGGCTCGCCCCTCCGCGACGTCTAGTCAACAATTTCTACTCCAACACCACTCCAAACACTGCAGAACAAAATGCATTGTTGACTCTGGCAAGGAAAAGCAGCGGTGATCACTTGTCACTCCAAACGACAAGCTTCTCCTTGCGCCACCAACATTAATTCGGTGCAACAGTTGATGCAAAAGTGACTGAATTTTTGCGTGTAGTTTTTGGATTTTACTGCAAGAGTAATGATGAAATTACGTGCATCGTGGCGTGGAATAATGTTTTCTGGTGCACGACACAATGCACACGATCATGAACGTTACCGAGGCGCTATTGGAAACGGACCATGAGGGAGGAGGTAAGATGGCATGCTCTGCTCAGAACATGCTGAAGCTATCGTTATATAGCGCTAGCAGTATTGCACCACAGCAAGAATTCTTTGAGATATTTCCTCTTGCAGTAAGAGTACTAAGAACAGGGATGCACTTTCTCACACTAACCTCGCTCATCTCGAACATGGTCCAACAGGAACCACGGCTAGTTTACATGCTGATGATCCACATACATGTAGATCTGCAACAGCAAGGAATGACCGTGGTCCATGCCATCAAGCCTTTCAAGGTCCCTTGGTTACATGGAGTTGACCAGCGCGCGCCGCGCGGCCTACTTCCCGGCTGGAAGGCCTACTACACTACAAGCATGCTCTTGAGCTGGACATCAAGATGCACTTGATCCGATCTAGATCAATGGGTGATCCATGTAAGTGCAGGTGCGCTTGATCAAGGTGCGCTTGATCAAGGTGACTCGGAACACTTAACTGCTCACGGCTGTCATGATGGTCATGTACTCGAACCAAAAAATATGGCGTCCAAAAATTTGAAAATTTGAAAATCTCATCACCGATCTGTCATTGATTTGCACGAAATTGCTCTTTTTCTCTTGAGGAAACCTCTACTTTCTACTTCAAATCGACAGGGTTTCAAAGTACAAACACGATTCATGAATTCCTCTCGCGATCCTCTTTCATCTGATACCCGTCTTGGCCGTCTTCTTCCAGGAACGATTCCTTCGGAGGTGCGTTTCCTTTGCCTTGACGACTCGGTCTTCGTCACTTCCAACAGCCCTTTTCACAGCTACCTTTTTCTCTTGGACAAGTTTTCTCGTCTTCTTCGTCAGTTTTCCTGGTGCCTGGGCGATTTTATTTAATGCAATTTTGTTAGTCTTTCCGTGCTACAAGATCGATTTCCGTGGCCATCGATTCTACCGTATCCCGTACTAGTAGTAGAGTGTAGTGTGCAAAATGGATGAACACAGTGCATTGCTGACTAGCTGCTGTAGTATTGGTGGCAAAATGTTTGCCAACATGGCTGTGTCCACGAAATACAACGTGAAGGACTATAGTAGAAGCATTCAAGCTGTGTACGAAGTCAACATTTCTCAGGATGACCCTGCGATCCACCCTACACACATTTGTCATGTATGCAAACGTGTGCTGGATCGTTGTCTGAGTGCAGATAGCCTGGACTCATTTGTAGGGGGTGGATGTGGAGCGATCAAAGGGTGGAAGCCACATAACCGCACATACTGCGACATATGCCACACTGCACCAAGGGTGGACGTCCACCAAAAAAAGAGAAGCAACTTGCTTCAAAGCTTTCTGCTGTAGAAAAAAAGAAATGGATGACACAACAGTCCCGCAACATTCATCCACAACAGCAATACCCCTATCACACTCTCCTGGACCCCAGACAGCACACAGTACTAGTGGAATGGATATAGTTATAGCAGAAGTATACATAGTCGCTACGGACACGCACAGGGCATCGAGAGCCCTAACTAGAGACAGATTTATAGACCAGAGCGTAGCAAAAGAATGTCCACTATGCGGCTACGTTCTGGACAACTTTGTTGAATCAGTCTGCTACCACGCAATATTTTGCGCTACATGTATATGCATATGGCTGCAATCCAATGGAACATGCCCAGTCTGCAGTTCTGTTCTGCTGGCATCAGCATTGACACGCCCATGCGCTGGGGTGAGTCGCTTGCTTGGCAAACGATCGCTGCGTTGTGATTTCCACCAGCACGGCCTTCAGGGATGCCAGACTGTTGAGCCATTGAGCGGTTTGGAAGACCCTGTTGCAACCTGTCCATTAAGCCCGATGGTTGATGCCGAGCCTATCCGAACTGTCCGTCCACACACGACAGTTCAGGAGGTGATGACAGCATCACCATCAAAGCTGCGTGGAAATTTTGCTGAGCAACTGACAGCCCATCTTGTCAGTTGCAAGGTGCACGACGGAAAATTAGAAGTGAACCCGGCCAGGCACAGCCGACCACAGGTCTACATGAGGACGACAGTAGCCTCCGTGACATCAGACCGTGCAAGCAGCAGCACTCTCCGCAGGCGCTCAACTGAGTTGGTGGAGGTTGAGCGTTCTGTCTGCGGTGGTGAGACTGGCGCCCGTGCACAATGGGTAGCTGGGCTAATGCGCCTCACCAGCAAGGAGCAAGTGTCGCTAATGCGGGATGCAGGCTTTCCCCTCCCGCTACTCCTGCAGAAGGTTCATTACGTGACCATCAAAGCAGACCTCCAACTTCCTTGGAACCGACTTCGGACGCTGAAGATGTGGCTGCAGAGTTACGGGCTGAAGATGGAGTCGGAGAGGACAACCAGGGCCTTCATCGCTATTACCATCCCGCAATACAACAGCAAACTGGTCCCCGTGGCATCATAGGCTGGTGATGTGGAGATGGTGCCAATGGTCTACTTTCCCAGCCTGATTGACGTTGTCATGTACTACCTGAACTGGTACGCAGAGCATGGCAAGATGGCAGAGCACTCCATCCCCAACGGTGAAGCGTGAATGTGTCAGTTGTTTCTTTTTTTCCTGCCTTCGACCCCGCTGCTCTGTGACCCTTCCCTCGCTTTCTCTTGTCCTTACTGTCTTTTGACTTGTTGAGCGGCCTGAGCGAATGCTAGGGGTGGATGTGTATTATGTCGATTTGTTGATTTTTGTAGTAACACACACTGATGCAAACGTGGAGAGGCAAAAATTAATAATAATAATAATAATAATAATACTGCTGCTGCCTGTATACACTGTCACGCTGTACATTGCAAAACAAAATTTCGGTTGCAACAAATTTTCGGCCAAAATTAATAATGACCAGGCCGAAGATAGCCGAATATAAATAAGCGCCGAAAATTTGTTGACTCACCGTACCAGCTACTTCGAAGTATATGCAATGAATAGCAGTGTGGAGAGTACGGTACTCACGTGTACACATTGGATTGGCAGTTGACCAAGACCCATTGGATTGACATATAGTGTAACTGGTACCACTCAATTGATAGCCTTCATTGCAACTGTACTGACGCACTGATGAAAATGTATTAGTACCGCCGGCGGTTACAGTACCATTTGCTGGTGCAGTTGTTGTAGAAGTGCATCTGATTTCTGCATATGGCAAACATACCCACAGACACACGAATAGACAGGTACAACAAAAGAATAGCCACCACCATTCTGGAGATCTTTTCAAGCACAACATGCTATGGAGAGGAGAAGCAATTTCCAACAATTTCCGAAGTCGTTACCACTATTTCTTTTACTCTTGTTATGACATTGGACCGGATCTTCCTACATTCGGCATACTATCGGGAATGCATGAACCAAGAGTTTGAAACATCTATCTCGAAAACACATTTCGGCTGCAACCAATTTTCGGCTTCATACTGCTGCTGCCTGTATACACTGTCACGGTGTACATTGCAAAACAAAATTTCGCTTTCAACAATTTTCGGCCAAAATTAATATGATCAGGCCGAAGATAGCCGAATATAAATAAGCGCCGAAAATGTGTTGACTTACTGTACCAGCTATATGCAAAGAATTGCATTCATTGCAACTGTACTGACGCACTGATGAAAATGTATCAGTACGGGCAGTGACAGCACCATTTGCTGGTGCTGTCAGTGCAACATTGCATGTGATCTCTGCATATGGCAACCACACCCATTGACAAAAGAATACACATGTACAACAAAAGAATGGTTACCACCATTCTGGAGCTCTTTTGAAGCACAAGATGCGATGGAGAGTAGAAATCCAAGCAATTTCCAACAATGTCCACCACAGAGATAGCAATTGGAATGAAAGTCAGTCATGACAACATTTTTTTCTTCTATTTTTTCTTTTCTGTTCTTTTCCTTTCCACTTATCCCGTTATCGGCCCTCTTAAGAGTTGTGTATTATCACTGTTGAGGCATCCGATGGTAAATAAAATAAATACTTCTACAACTACCACATAAAACCTATAAAGATACAGAACATAGAAAGTCATCTACAAAATTAATCATGTTATATGCACAAACCTCCACCGCATTGTGAATATATGTTGATATCACCACTGTAATCAAGTGATTAGGTTTTCTTATGCCTTTACAGAGCTAGACTATAGAAGAAGGCAAGAAGCACCATTTGGCCTTCGAAAAGTCTGCGTTGAATCCACCAATATCACTGCTGCACTTTGTGGCCGACCACATGTACTTCCCACAACAACAAGAGTTTTGTTTGTTTATTTACGGATTCTCCAGAGGTAGATGGATACCTATCATGGGAGTCTCACCAATAAATTAATGAAAATAGAATTATGTAAAGAGTGCAAAAAAACTCAAAATCTGAGATTTTTAAGAGATTCCTTTGGAGTACTGTAAAACTGTAAAACCAGTATTTATGGCGCTGGTGGTAGTTTAGCCATTTTAACGAAAGGAATGTTTTTGCTGCAGTACTGGTCGAGATATTGCATGCATAATACAGTACTAGTTATCTTCTTGTTCAATCCTGAAACTCGACATTAAACAAATATTTCACAAATATTAATTGGTCCAGATTCAGAAAATGCCAACGAAATTACCGGCTACAATTTTTTCATTCTACAGTACTGAAACACTATTCCGACTAACAGCTGTTTTGGTCATTGAGACCTCATCGGAGAAGGCTGAGCTGTTGGATGACTTAATTAACCCTTTTCCATTCTCTCAACTAGTGAATGTAATGTATGTACTGTATACACAAGGAGATATTATAGTCTTCTCACCGCGACAGCTAGCAATTGGCGTTTCCCAGGAGCCAGTAGACAGGCATTTCGAAGTTGCCATTCCCAACAGCACATAGCCGGTGTTGCAGTGGACGTGTAGTACACCATACTTTGTCATGCTGCTGGCTGTTGCTCCGCCATTGTTGATTGTAGGCAAGGTCTTGCAGACAATAGCTTTAATCAGATAAGGCATAATTCAAAGATATCACACACGGAGCTAAACAAATAATTATTATATAATCAGTTTGAACGTCCATAGGGCCGATTTTGTTCAACCCATGGCTTCTGGTATGTCAGACTTGGACGTAACTGAAGAGGCGAGTTTCCTAAAACATAATAGCGTAATGTAGTGGAAAAAAAGTCGTAAGTAAAAATACCATAGCATATGCTTTGTTTATTTCTCTGCTTGGTCTGTCAGAAGGAGGGCTGTCATGGTAAACTTACAAGAATTTATGTCACTAAGGAAATGTAAACTCCATACACAGGTTCCAGGTATGCTTTCCTATGGCAAGGTAATTGATGGGATGTCCATTTTCCCATTCACTGTCCTTTTCGGTATTTGGCTAATTAAACCTTATGGCATGTCCAGTTTTATTACCTTCACATCCTGCAATGGTTGTCCATAACTGGGATGCAAGGCAAGTGATGGTTTCCCTCTCTCTCTCTATCTCTCTCTCCTTCTCTTTCTCTATCTCTCTCTCTCTCTCTCTCTCTCTCTCTCTCTCTTTCCTCCCTCTCTTCCTCTGTCTCTCTCCCTGAGTACAGTATTGAAAATTACTGCAAGAATGATGGTAACATCACGTGCATAGTGATGCAAAAAGTCTCGTGGATCACAGCTCACGAGATATCCGAACCACCTTTGGCCAGTATGTTGCCTGGAAGGGCCGCTGGTTTGGAAGCGATCACACTGGTGCTGTTCCGAAGCTTCAGAACACGCTGGCCGTGACATGCCTAGTTATCCCCTTAGGATATCTACGCCTTATCAACCTGGACATGATTTTTTTGTTCCCAATTATTTACGTATACAATAAAGGAGGCCGAGGGTTTATGACCAATAAAAACTATTATAAAAACCGAGGTCCCCGAGATTTTATAATTAGTTTTTATTGGTCATAAACCCAATGCCGGAGCAGTTATCGTATTAAGAATCAACCAGTAAAACTCCTACTCAATCTCCCACAACAAAATTGGTGAACAGCTGTGATTTGTGTTGCTATGACAATCCGTGTGCTGGACGAGTATTTGTTGTCATTGGTTCAATTTATTTTGCTCTTCATAGGCTATCAGATCATTCTCCTTATTCGGTCTATTTATAACCAGTATCTATAATGAGAGTGTGGTCTGTCTACATGGTTACCGATGTTCATTTCATAACTATAGCCACTTCTCCTTGTTAGACCTTATCTGGAAGGCCCATTCTTGCATATTCCAACAGCAGCCAAGGGAGCTAGCTGTTTTTATGTACTGTTTTTATGAACTGTTTTTATGAACTGTTTTTATTGGATAGGATATGATTATGTTGAATAAACGAGGTTTGTGTCAATGGGAGATTGACTTGGAGTTTTAAAGAGTTGATTCTAATTGCCGTTAGTATAGCTAGATTATTATGTATTATACTACACAAGTAGAGTTGAAACTGGCTATTATGGACACAAGGTTTAAAGTGACGCCATTGGCATAACGTTATTACACATTCTGTACTAACGTTCACAGGTCGGGACTGTTGTTGTCGTGGATACACTTGTACATGTCACGGTAGGATTACCCACTATGCCGAAGTTAGCATTGCAGGTTACATTGAATACTGGTGCATTACCAGTAACCACTCCATTCGTTATTGTAGGTGCAGTGCACACGATAGCTGTATTGGAAAGTAGGAAAGCAATGAACTCATTTCAAACATTATATTGGCTAGACAAGTGCATGCATGCATTATTTTATTATATATTTATTGCATTATACTATGGGTGAACGAGTATATCGAATACTGGAGCACTCGCTCGAAATTTTGAAATGAGCAAGTGCTCGTTTACACTTGTACATGTCACGGTAGGATTACCCACTATGCCGAAGTTAGCATTGCAGGTTACATTGAATACTGGTGCATTACCAGTAACCACTCCATTCGTTATTGTAGGTGCAGTGCACACGATAGCTGTATTGGAAAGTAGGAAAGCAATGAACTCATTTCAAACATTATATTGGCTAGACAAGTGCATGCATGCATTATTTTATTATATATTTATTGCATTATACTATGGGTGAACGAGTATATCGAATACTGGAGCACTCGCTCGAAATTTTGAAATGAGCAAGTGCTAACGGATACGGATACGATAATTAACGGATACGATAATTAACTTTTTTTTTTTTTTTTTACATCAAGCACTTCGGTTGCTGAGACTGGTACTGATGGTCCATGCAAGTGCGAAATTATTGCTTGTTCCTACTTACCAACAAAAGACAGTAGTCCAGACTATACTACATGTGCATCAGGTGTAGTACGTTCGGTGTTACGAGAGTGTGTGCAGTACATTGTTTTATGCTGTCAGTTAAATACTCTTACTCGCTCGAATACTCGCTCGTTTTTTCAAAAGTACTCGAGTCCCCACTTTTCGCACTCGTTTCACCCCTACACTATACCCCCACATAATGCATCGGTGGTTCGAACTGAATAGTTTCTTGGCACTTAGGACAAACCAGATTTGGGGGCTAGTCGTTAGTATTTCCCTTACCATTGCAAGTCTGAGGACCAATCGTGGTTGTCCATATGCCACCTGCTCCACAATCTGCGTACCAATTTGTAGAACTCTTTACATATCCCAGATCACAAACGAGGAAGGCTTGCGAAGGAAATACATCTCCACTTGGATAGATTATATTTCCGTTTGATACAGGAGATAGGGCCGTACCACAGTGCGTACTTGGTGGTGACACTGCATGGTGAAAATTCAAATAAGAACAAAGATCCAGTGATCAAGGTATTATATGGTTACTTTCAACAACAGCTATTCAGTTCATGGGCTATACGCAATACACACGATGTACTTTGCGAGGATACATCTCATTATGCAGACGCAATGGTGTCTGGACAAGGACTATGTTTGACATAAACCTGAAAAGAGTAGATCAAAATGCCGCGTTCTGAGCCACATAGTCTATGCTAGGAGTAGGCATTCTTTCGAAAGGAGAATTAGGTACAATTGAGAAGTATATGGCACCAAACATCTTTATAATCATATGCTCAGAAGTGATCATCCTACGATTGGTCACCCCTCAGCGTTATGCCTTTTTTTTTTTTTTTTTTTTTTTTACTACAAAGCACTGGCCAGCAACATAAAAGGGGAGGTAGACAAAAGTGGACAAGCGAACTTTGACAACACAGAGGAGCGTGGCATGCGTGCCGATGAGGTAGGTCAACCTCCCCCGACCTAGTGGTCTCGGGTTCAACAGTTGGTCTACGCATCAGGAAGGGGAAATGGACAGAGAAAGGGAGAATGAGCATGAGGAGCTTCCCAGGAGAGGAAGAGTGAGAGAGAGAGAGAGAGAGAGAGAGAGAGAGAGAGAGACAGAAAATGATAATAATAGAGACAACCGGTTATTCTCAGTGCTGGTGGACTTCAGTGGCCCATAGCCAATTGGTCTGGCGGAGGTGATGGTAGGCCTTGGTCTTGAATGTCGGCAATTTCTTGAGAGTTGGGCGTTCGGCGAGGATTGGGGCAGGCAGTGTGTTCCAGCTCTCCAGGACAAAGTATGGGAAGGAGCGGCGGATGAACTCTGGACTGGAGGCTGGCAGAGGAGTTGCGAGTTGGAAAGAGTGGCCACCGAGGGACTGGCGTTGCCGGCGCGTCCGGGGTGCAGCGTTAACTCTTGCTGGGGGAGGTACCATGTTGGTAAGCAGAGCTGGACCTGGTATGCATTGCAGCTTATACAGGTAGCACAGCCCGTAAACATGCCTTCGGATTGCCAGGCTGGGGAGCAATGAGGGGCCAATAACCTTCATGGCTCGACGCTGGACCAGGTCCAGCTGATGGAGGTGACAATGTGCCGCACTTGCCCAGACGAGAGGGGCGTACTCCATTATAGGCCGTACAAATCCTTTGTACACAGTTAGGCGCCCTGCACTGTCCAGGATCCGAGATGCCTTTCGGAGCAGGCCGAGTCGCTGGTTGGCTCTAACGGCAAGGGAACGGATGTGGGCCCGGAAGGAGAGAGTACTGTCAAATAGCACTCCTAGCAGCTTGAGCTGAGGGCTCTCAGGCACCTGCATACCATCAAATGTGAGCTGTGGGACATCCAAGGATGGTCTGTGGCGGTCAAGGAGTATTGCCTGAGATTTTGATGGCTCGAACTTTATCTTCCATTGGGCACCCCAAGTCTGCAGGCGGTCAATAGATGCTTGGAGGCTATTGCAAGCAGCAGCGATGGTATCTGGGTTTCTGATTAGGGCATAGAGTGTTGTATCGTCCGCGTAGACAGCTAGACTGGAGCCTGGGGCTAAACACTGTTCTGCATCGTTTACATATAACAGGAAAAGAGTGGGACCTAGGAGGCTACCCTGGGGCACTCCAGCCTTGATCGGGAACAGTGGGGAGGACTGACCGCCAACAACTACAGTCAGTTTTCGGTCATGGAGATACGACCTTAGCCAAGCCAGGAGTTGGCCGTGGATGCCACATTGCTGTGCCTTCGCAAGGACACCTGGGTGGGAAACCTTGTCGAATGCCCCGGCAATATCAACTGCCAGGGCATGCACAAGACCGCCGCCAGCCAGGGTAGTGGCCCAGGAATGCTGGAGAGCCGTCAGTAGGTCACTTGTGCCCAGTCCACGTCGGAAGCCAAACTGGGACGAGGAGAAGAGCTGATGGGTTTCCAGGTGGTTCACAAGCTGCCGATTGATGATACCTTCCATGATCTTAGAGATGATCGTCAGGAGAGATATAGGCCGGTAGTTCTTCATCATGGATTTGGGTCCTTTCTTGTGCACTGGAACGACACGGGCAATTTTCCATGATTGGGGCTGGACTCCATTTGCAAAACACAGGCGAAACAATCTAGCCAGCGGATGTGCTAGTTCAGCTGCACACTCCTTGAGTACTCGTCCTGGGATCTCATCTGGACCAGTGGATTTGGATGTGTTGAGACCTGATGTCGATGTTGCTCTTGCGTACTTCGAGCATACACTCCAATACATCTTTGACCTGTACTTTCCGCATCACGCTCCCACGCACCGGCCTACGTCTCCCTCATCAGACCCACCATGGATGACACCGGCTCTGCGCTCTGCTGTGAAACGGAAGCACGACGCATTCAGTGTTTCCAGGAAGTACCCCACAGCGGATAACCTGGCTGCTTATCGACGCCAGCGTAACCTCGTGAAGGATTTATCTCGACATGATTATCGCTCTTACATCCGCAGCATCAAGTCCACGCTCTCAAGTAATGACCACCCGTCTAATTCTCAGTTCGTCAGGCGACTACGTAAGCCAACTTCCACCAGTGCTCCCATAACCTCCATGCAGAGACCAGACGGCAGTATTGCTCATGATACTAGGGACATTGCAAACTTGCTCAACGTGCATTTTACCACTGTCGCACCTAGTGACGACCCACGATGGTATGTGCCATCTCTTGCGGAACACTCTGCTATTCTGTCCTCACTTGATTCCTTTCAGACCTCCCCATCCACAGTTAGGACCGTCATTAACAAGCTGAAAATCAATACATCACCTGGTTTTGACGGTCTTCCCAATGAAGTTCTTAAACGTCTGGCACCTTCAATTTCGTCTCCTCTCTCCACGATCTTCAACATCTCCTTAACCCACATGCATGCACGCATACACACAATAAAACTTAAAACAACCAAAACATCAATATGCACATTTATCCAGACACGCTCTCACATACGCACGCACGCATGTGCGTGCCAAACGTACAAAACGTGGACACGTGTACACCAAGCCGATAGAATACAAGGAAGTGGGGTTTGCCATAGTTATTTTTTCAATTTTGTCTGATAAATATTTACGAGACTTTGTGTTGGGAAGGCCGTCGTGGCCATGTGTTTTTTTATGATGTATTTACTATTTATTCAATATTTCCCTCAGGATGTGAAATATGAAATGTCTCAGAAATTCAGTTTATTTTGGAACGCAATTTCGCGTACATGTAGTGATTTAGCCTACAGTTAGTTCACGAGTTATTTAGTAGGTTGTTTGTTTCTTGCGTTGCACAGTGCAAGACAAGAATTTGCACAACTGCACAAGAGTATTGACGTTGACTCTCAAAATGATTCTTGGTCGCATTTTGTTTGTTTCTTCTAAGTTTTGACAAAGGGACATGTATTTTCGTTTTGTCTTTTCTCGCAGTGTTTCCTTTCATTTCTAAGCCGCGACGCCGTCGCGTACTGCGGTACGACGGGTCACGTGCTGCCAACCTACTGCATTCTTTATTCACCAGTTTTCACGGCTACACTGCATGTATTGTATAATGACTCATGATTATTTTTTGCTCTGCGCTGAATCCCGTACTAGTGTAGTGTAGGTTTTTTTCAGAGTTGGTTTGCTTTTCGAGGAGGCTCGGCAAGTTCGGTTCTTCGAAAGGAAGAGAAAGAGTTGTCTTTTTGTTGTTTGCGAAATATCTATTTTACTACCACGAAGTGTTCCCGTTGCGTGTGAGAACCTGCATGACAAATTGGTAGCAGAGGATGGTTGTCAAGTAGTGGTTCCTTCACCAAGCGCAGTGTGGTAGTGAGTAGCATTTCGGGTTTTCGCTGGACAACATGGATCTTGAGGAGTGCAAGAAAGCGAAGGCCAAGGCCAAGTTCCATGTGACACGAAATCGAAACTTGTTGCTCAGCAGGATCTACGAAGAGGATGCGACCTCGAAAGAGATCAAGAGGTTGTTGGATGACGTGACTGAGAGTGTTCACAACGCTGTGGATGTGTGTCTAAAACTGGTAACTCGGTACGCAGAATTAGGACTACCCACAGAAAAAGTGCACGAGGAGATAGAGGTCATCAACGTCGACTACAGCGATGCTGTCAGCAAGACCAGCGACGTGCTGGCAGAAATCAGCAAGAGGCCAAGTCGAGCCAGAACGGGTGAAAGTTCGCCAGCTTCCATCACCAGAGCCAAGAACATAAGATTAGTAAAGGCAATGTTGACGCAGAGCTTGGAGAATCCCAGAGCAAGTGGGAGGATGTTGACACCGCCACACTCTCCTAGCAAGGCCCTTGAGGAAAAACAGAACATGTGTGCTGAGAAGAGTCTCAGTCGTTTTGGGAATGTGTCTGCATCCAGTGTCAGCCAGAGTGCGACTGTTGAGGGGACTACCCAGCCGCCTGCCGTTTCCTCGGGAGCAGCTCTGGGAGCAAATGCATCGGCACTCCCCCTGGGAACTCCAAGTGGTGACCATCGTGATAGACAAGACGAACCGCCTGGGGCTGACATGACAAGCGTCAGTGACAGCCAACCAATTGTGTCGTCGTCAAGTGCAACCATGGCAACCACTGTGAGTACAGACAAGTCACGCACAATCAAGGTGTCCTTTCCGGTCTCTTTGTCGTCTGTACCTACGTTACCGTTTACGGCGGAGCTCTTGTCAAAACTTCACCCGGTTGCCATGGCAACCGCCAAAACCATGGCAACACCGCTGAACATTGGTCATCAGTCTGCAGGGAGTAACCAACCAAGTGGCATTGCTCAGTCTGGCATGCAGCAAGCACCGGTATATACGTCGGCAGCTTCGGCAAGAAACGTAATCACTGCCCCTAACCGTAGTTCAAGTGGGGTCAGCGTACCACCCAGAGCATTGTCGGCCACGACCATACTCGTGCAGTCAGCCCAGACGCAACCAACTCCTGCAGTGCAGCCTCCTCGTGGGACGCAACCAACTCCAGCTGTGCAGCCTCGTGCAGTTGCAAGTCATACTCTCTCGGCTTCTACACCTGCATTTGTGCCGGGATCAGGAAATTTGTACGTTCCACCGCCGACCCATTCTGGACATCCATTCTCATTTGGAACACCACCGGGTTTCTTGTCGGCACCCGACTTCCCGACGCACGTCTTGCCGAATCAGTCTGGAATAATGTCTACCCCACCAGCGACCCAACCGGTCATGCAACAAATACCAGTTGGTCAGCCAGGTCACGCGTCACACCGTGAAGATTATGGTCTTGTGCAGCCGAGCAGTCTTCCAGTTGCCATGACATCGCCGAGTGGTCTACCAGTGCAAGCGAGTAGTTCTGGTAGAATCGAATTGTACCGACATTTAGAGAAAGTGTCAATTCCAACGTTCAAGGGCGACAAGCGGCAATATGAGACGTGAAAGGCGGCGTTTGAGATGTGCATTGGCTGCGCTAACATTCCGGATGGGCTGAAGTTATTGCAGCTCCGAAAATACCTCGCGGGCGATGCACTACGGTCTATCGACACTCTTGGCTACTCGGCCGAGGCGTATGAGGCAGCACGACGTAGGCTGGAACGCAAGTTCGGTGGTCAGCGACGTCTAGTTGCAGTGCATCTAGAAGCCCTTGAGAAGTTCCCAGCGATGAGATCTGCAAACGCCCAGGAGTTGGAGCGTTTTGCGGAGCTACTCGATGTCGCTGTGGTGAATTTGAAGGCGAGTGGTCAGACACAGGAGTTGGCTAACGGGACATTTTATGTCCGGCTAACACAGAATCTGGGGGTGTCTCTTCTGCTGAGCTACCAGAAGTGGATACATCAGACAAGCACCTCTGAATCTGTCGAAGCGCTTCTGCAATGGGTGGAGCTGGAAAGCGAGTTCCAAGTATGAGCCCAGGAGACGATCCAAGGTATCTCCACGGCAACTCCAGTAGGGTCCACTCAAACAGCAAAGAGTCACCCCCTGAAGGGCCAGGCCAGTCATCGTGGAGTGAAGCATCAGGCATTCTTCGCTGACAAGCCCAAGAAGGCCCAGAGCAGCAGCAGTTGCCCGATCTGCACGAAGATCCATCCCGTTTGGAAATGCCTAGAGTATCGGAAGCTGTCAATTGCAGAGCGTTGGCAGAAGGCCCGGACGCTCAAGCTTTGCTACCGTTGCCTAAACTCTGGTCATTTGGGAAATAACTGTCGCAGGTCGCAGCCCTGTGGTGCAGACGGTTGTACAGAGACCCATAACGCGTTGCTGCACGGAAAGTCTAGTACTACTACAGACTCGAATGGAGCCTCGCAGAAGCCAGTGCTCCAGTCTAGCGCCTCCACGGAGGGGGGTGACACCAGTTCCATGGCCACTCATATGAGTAGTGTCGGCGTTAGAGCTGTCGCACTGCGAACCGTTCCCGTCATACTTCGCCACGGCGACAAGAATGTCACGGTCAACGCGCTGCTGGACGACGGCAGCACGCAGTCTTACCTTAATTGCGACGTTGCGGCACAGCTAGAGCTTAGCGCTCCCACACAAGAAGTGTCAGTGAGCACGCTGAACGGCCGCATCGAGACCCTAGAGACCATGCCAGTCGACTGCCACATCGAGAGTCTGGATGGCAAATTTATAACACAGTTCTCTGCTCTGACTGCCAAGAATGTCACCGGTAACCTTACACCTCATGATTGGTCGGTAGATCAGACACGGTATCCGCACCTCAACGGCAATGAGTTTCCGCAATGCCAGAAGAAGCGAGTAGAGGCGCTGATCGGCCTTGACCACGCTAGTCTCCACAGGTGCATGGAGGAAGTCTATGGTGAGGCTCATGAGCCATTCGCACGCAGAACGCCACTCGGGTGGACATGCGTTGGCAGGAGCACCAGACCGCAACAGACGACAAATTTCACCCGCACATACTTCGGAAAGGACGTCGACCTGAATGCACTGGTGAGAAGGATGTGGGAGGTGGAGGAACTTCCCCAGTCGTACAAATTCTGTGCAGATGATCAAGCCGTTTTTGATCAGACGGTCCAGTCGATGACCTACAAGAACGGAAGATACCAGGTTTCGGAGCCGTGTATCAAGAGACCACCTCCGGACAACTACAGTCGAGAAACTGCAATGAAGCGGCTCATCGCAGCAGAGAGACGCCTGGCGAAGGAGCCAGACGTCGCTGAGGAATACCGAACCGTGATTCGCCGTCACTTAGAACAAGGGTATATCAGCAAGATCAGCAACGCAAGTGATGGCGACGGCTGGTATCTGCCGCACTTTGCTGTTGTACGACCTGGGGCTACATCCACAAAGGTGCGTGTGGTCTTTGATGCAGCAGCAAAGACGAAAGGCAAGTGTCTGAATGACTACATCAGCACTGGGCCCAAACTACAACGGGACCTCACCGACGTTCTCCTGCGGTTTCGGCGACACCCAAACGCACTGGTAGCCGACGTGGCAGAGATGTATCTACAAATCGAGTTGGAAGAGGATGACCGACAGTTCCATCGATTTCTTTGGCGAGAAGATACGGAGGACCAACCGGCCGTTTACCAGTACAATAGAGTGGTGTTCGGGATCAATGCATCTCCATTCTTAGCTCAACTGGTCTCGCAAGAGCATGCGCGGCGGAACCAGGAGGAGTTTCCTATGGCAGCAGAAACCGTGTTGAAGTCCACGTACATGGACGATTCAATGGACTCGACAAAGTCAACAGAGCTAGCGATTCAGCTGTACCACGAGCTTACGGCGCTGTGGGGTCTCGCTGGAATGCATGTGCGAAAATGGATTTCCAACAATGTTGAGGTGCTCGCCGAAGTCCCCGAGGAGGACCGAGCCAAGGAAGTGGACCTCGCTAATGGAATCCTGCCGACGACCAAGACTCTCGGAGTTAAGTGGCGAGCAGAGGAAGACGAGTTCCTGATTCATGTCAAGCCGCCATCAGACATTGTCACCAAGAGAGCGTTCTTGAAGAACCTAGCCACATTGTTTGATCCGATCGGATTCGTACTGCCATTCACCATAGTTGGTCGGATGTTGTTCCAGAAGATGTGGCTAGCAGGTGCTGACTGGGACGACTCTCTGCCGCCAGAGCTAGGCGCAGAGGCGCAAAAGTGGTGTGCCGACATGGATGCACTCCAGGATGTCCGAGTTCACCGGTGTCTTCAACGCGATGAAGAGGTGGTGGAGACTAAGTTACATGTATTCTGCGATGCCTCGCAAGATGCATATGGAGCAGTCGCTTATCTCTGTCATGTGTACCAGGATGGTACGAGGTCCAGTCGATTCGTCATGGCTCGAGCCAAAGTGGCACCGTTATCAGCTGTTAGCATCCCCCGACTCGAGCTAATGGGAGCAGTCATCGGATGTCGTCTTGGTGTGTCCGTAGCCAAGACACTCGCCATCGCAATGGAGAATGTCGTGTTCTGGAGTGACAGCATGGATGTCCTGTGGTGGATAAGGAACAGCAGCCGGGTCTTCAAGCCATTCGTGGCCAACCGCGTCGGTGAGATCCAGGCTTCTTCCTCGCCTAGTCAGTGGTTCTACGTTCCGACGGCGGTGAATCCAGCTAACATCCTGTCACGAGGAACATCAAGCGCTACTATCGCGATGAATGTGCTGTGGTGGAACGGTCCGTCATATCTCGTTCAGAGCATCGAAGAACGGCCACAGCAGCCCGAGGGATTCAACGTTCCAGCTGCACCAGAGGTCCGCACGAAAGCCAAACCACCCGAAGAAGGTCAGCAACACCACCAAGTGACATGTGTGTCTTTCCTCTCGATGAGCGAGTGGGTATTGGCGCCTGAACGATTCTCTTCGCTTCAGCGGCTGGTCCGCTTGACGGCGTGGGTGCTGCGCTTTTCTTCAAACTGCCGAATCCCAGCCACGCAGAGACAGTATGGTCAGCTGACGGTCGAGGAAGTCGAAGGCAGCCTCCAGGCCATTATTCGGTCAAGCCAGAAGGACGCCTTTGCTGAATATTCGTCACTGCAGAAGGGCAAACCATTACCGGCAACCAGTCCACTGAGCAGCCTGACCCCGTTCTTGGATGAAGTTGGTGTGATGAGAATGACAGGACGGCTCCAAGAGGCACAGTATCTCAGTCAAGACGCCAAGCACCCGATCATCTTGCCGCGGTCTTGCTGGATAACACAGCTAGTGATCAGAGACCAGCATGAGGCAGACCATCACGTCGCAGGTACAGCTCACACTATGGCAGTCCTCATGAGGAAATATTGGATCGTGGTGATTCGAGAAGCCATCCGGGAGTACGAACGTTCCTGTGTGAAATGTCAATTTCGTAAAGCACAACCAGCCACGCAGATCATGGCATCATTGCCCAAGATCCGGTTGAAGGAGCCTCTCCACGCTTTCAGTCGCGTTGCCGTAGACTTTGCTGGACCATTCGCAACAGTACAGGGTCGAGGGCAACGACGAGCTAAGCGGTACTTGTGCGTCTTCACCTGCTGTCTTTGTCGTGCTGTGCATCTGGAAATGGCCACAGGTTTGGATACCGACAGCTTTCTGAACGCCTTTCAACGAATGTGCAACCGCCGTGGTGTTCCTGCTGAAGTGCTCTCGGACAATGGTACGAACTTCGTCGGGGCTAATCGTGAGCTATCGGAGATTTTCACCGAGCAGGAGCAACACGTCCTGGAGCACAGCGCTACCATGAAGAGGATCAAGTGGCATTTCATCCCTGCCCAGACACCACACTTTGGAGGCGTTCACGAAAGTATGGTAAAAGCAGCAAAGAAGGCTATTTACCATGTTCTACAGCAGGCATCAATCACCGATGAGGAGCTGCGAACAGCATTCTGCAGCGCAGAGGCGCTACTCAACTCTCGTCCAATTGTTCCTCCCTCTAGTGACAGCCGACTTGCCACTCACACCGAATCACTTCCTGGTTGGACGCATTGAGCACTATCATCTTGCCGTCGAGTCACCGTGTCTTCGGCGCCGCTGGCAACACGTCCAAATGCTTGTATCCCATGTCTGGCGAAGGTGGATGCAGGAGTGGATACCAGCCCTGAATCGTCGCTCCAAGTGGTGGAAAGAGTACCCGGATCTCAGTGTCGGTGACATCGTCCTCGTTGTGTCAGCTGATACCCCCCGTGGCAGGTGGCCTCTTGGACGGGTGTTGGAGGTCTACCCTGGTTCTGACGGCAGAGTGCGTGTCGCTAAGCTCCAGGTCGGAGGCAAGCAGGTAACCAGGTCAGTTGTACGGCTATGTCCGGTTGTGAAAGGCTGACAGTCCGTACGCACGTTTTAGATGGACTTATCGCAATCTTTAGTCAGTTCGATCTCTTTTCTCATTTTACTCATTCTTTGATACGGATGTATCAAGGAGGGGGGGGGGGTATGTTGGGAAGGCCGTCGTGGCCATGTGTTTTTTTATGATGTATTTACTATTTATTCAATATTTCCCTCAGGATGTGAAATATGAA